CCTGCTGGCAACACTCCTCCTGATGCAGCCAGGATCCCATTGGCCTTCTTGGCCACGAGGGCACACTGCATTCATTTGAAAACAGGCTATTACAGTTTATTTGCATCTATGTTTCCAGGTTGAAGTAATAGAATGAAAGTATTTCATAATGCAACTTCACATGGAAACAATTTAAGAAGAATCTGTAGTACTAATAAGTTGCAGGAAATCCCGTCCATCTGACACATGCTAAATAAAGCTCTAAGAGGTCTTGGCTCCATGTACCACTTGTAGTTGAATTKTGGTAATGCCTGATAATCAGTGTGAATAACTATGTACAAACTATATAACCTGAAGTTGCGCTTTCTAGCTTGGTGCACAAATTCACTAATCATAGAAACTATATTTCAACTATTGACTGAGTGAGTTGGGCCTGTTCGGCTGGGAGGAGATCTGATTAACATGTATAAGTTCATGAAGGAAGAATGTAGGGAGGAAGGGGCCAGGCTCTTCTCACTGGTGGCCAGCGATAGGACAAGGGGCAATGGGCATAAATTGAAACACAGGCAGTTCCATCTGCATGTGAGGAAGAGCTTCTTTCTTGTGAGAGTGACAGAGCCCTGGCACAGGCTGCCCAGGGAGGCTGTGGAGTCTCCTTCTCTGGAGATCTTCCCAACCCGCCTGGATRCCGCCCTGTGCCCCGTGCTCTGKGTGGCCCTGCTGGAGCAGGGGGTTGGACTAGATGATCTCTAGAGGCCCCTTCCAGTCTTGAAAATTCTGTGATTCTGTGAACTAATAAAAAAGATTAAAACCTCATTAAGATAGATTATTCATTTGAATGTTATACTTTTTATCATGGTGACTTTGCTATGTATTCACTGATGAAATATTGTAATCCTAGATGAACGAAACAACAAAAATATGATAATATATGAACCTATATTGTTTGGACTATATCAAGAATGTTTGGAAAGAGTTATATGATTTTATATTGAATTAGAAGATTTTGAAGCTGTGAGTAATTACTTATGTGAAAATGTACAGAAAGCTTTTAGAGCTCTTCACTACATTCAAAGGACAAAAAATAATTTTTCTATAGCTAAACTTGTTAATTTGATTTAATGACCTACAAAGAATGAAAGCAATTTTTGTGCCCCACAGCAAAGGAAAAGAACTATTTTGTCTTGTGTAATGTTCCCAYGTTTGCAATCATAAGACTTCAGCTATAAACATTTAAATAAACATTTTATTTAGGCATTCATTTTCAGTTTCAATCTGATATTASCTTGAATCAGAAACTTCAGTATTCAAAATTACTCTTCTTTATAGCTGTCCATTGTTGTGCAATGTGGTATTTATATTTATGCTCCTTATTTTCAGATTCCTCATCCTTACGATCTGATAAARTCTCACTGACATCTGATAAAAGCTACTCACTCTTCTACTCTTTCTCCCTTTATCTCATTCTTATTGCTATATTCATTTTGTAGTCTCTATTTTTCTGTCTTCTGCAGACCATTTTGGCAATGTGTTTAATATATTTTTTTACAGATACACCAAATTTATTAACAGAAACTATCAGGCATTAAGGGGATGCATATTTCATACCTAGTTAGTCCAAAACTAGGTATGAATGTCTGTAGCTTCATTTGCCTCAGTTTTAGTGGTAATGTAGACCAAAAGACTAAAAGACTAAAGAGAGTTAAGTCAGTATTTCTATTAAAGAACCAGAATGTCTGGAATTTTGTCTTTCTTTTTTTTTTTTTTTTTCTATGCATGCTGGTTTTTTTCTTGATTTTTTTTTTGCAAAGGACAATTAATTGATCTCTTCCTCTGTATTTCAAATAATTGTAAAATACTAGCTCACATCCTGAACAGCAGTTTTTGTTTCTTTTTAAGCTTTTCTTCACACTTTGTACATCACTTCATGTTAACCAGGTCATTTTTTGTTGTCTCATTACCCTTTCCTGGACTGTTGACTCCATTTTTATTTTTTTTTCTTCAAAACCAGCTCTTTTTGACTTTGAAACATGTTTAGACTTCGTTCTTCAGGGAATAAATGAAGAGTAGAAATGTGCCATATTTATATTGCTATGCCATTTGCATCAATTTGCTTAAATAAGTATAGACTACTAACAATTCTCAGCAAATATGGCACAAAACTACTCTTGTGACCAGTCTTTTAATGCCTCCTCTTTCCTCCCTGTGCCTTAGAGACCTTCCATTTTTATCAGTCTTTGTTCTCCATTGCCCTTCTCAGTGAGTACCTCTGCCTGATGTTTTTTAACCTCTGTCATATCTTTATGTGTTACTTCCCACTTTAAATTCAAGGACTGTCTTATTTTTAAAAGTCAGCAAAGCCATGGCAGGAGTTTTAGTATTGTTGTCAAAAATAACAGTTGACGGACAATTGTGATCTCTCTGTCTCAATATTGGTAAAGAAGCAAAATCTCATTAAAGATTTAAGTCACGTTGATGGACTTTTACCTTGCCAACATCAGCAACTTTGGCCGAATACATAACTAACCATTTCTAAAGGCTAATCTTTGTAATGCTTAATTGCTAAGTCAGTTTCTAGCCATGCAAATGTAYGACAATAGCATTAGTCCTTCCTCAAAATAAGGGCTGGTGAGCTGTAATTTCATAATTTATTTTGTAATCACCTTGTCCCTGGTGTCATCTTACACTGTTAAAATTTTCAGTTAATATAATACATTATAAATCCTTATTTTTTCTCATTACTTTCAGAAATCTGCTTTGTTTTAATTTGCATTGTGCTATGCACCTGTGAGATAATATGTCAACAATAATTATTACGAAAATTTCACAAAACTTAATTTCCAAACTAGCTATTTATCACGATAGTATAAGGTTGTTTTAGAAAGGAAAATACATGGACAAATTAAAAGTTTACATGTGATGCATTTTTAAAGACAAAGATGTATCTGTCATTTAAATTGTACAGTGTATGCTATTTTTAATTAATTATGTGCCTTACATAAATAAGTTGTATATTGTTCTTGGAATGAGTGCTCTCATCCTCTAAGAGAACATGTGTAACTATTGTTGATTTGGGGACTATGGAGTTTTCTGTGCACATCCAGTAAGTGATGCTAATGTACAGTATCTTTCATAAACAGACCTCTTTTTGTCTGTGTTGGAAGAAAGACCCAACTCAAAGAATCTGATAGTATTCCAAAGAAAACATCTGTTTTAAATATATTTGTTTGGATTCCAGTCAGCACACCTAGGACTTGCATAATTAGCTCAGACTACAGAGTTCCCTTTTCAGAAGATAGGCTTATATAAATAAACTGCATTTTTCAATAAGCAAATATTCTCCTTTTTTGCAATTAGAAGTCCATGTTTSTATTTGAAAATATGCTTTTGTAAAGCAATGATTGAGAGTACTTTTTCATCATATTTTTTAAACAACATTCATTGTACTGTCTATTGTATTGTGTAAAAGGGTAAAGCACATCACCTCAGTGTTTCAGTAAATGAGTATGCACATTTATAAATATTTTTATACCTTTGTTGTTAATTAATTGGTTAAATAAAATATAAATTTTATACCTCTTAACATATTCTTTTAAACAGAATTTTTAAAAATGAATATGACGATAACTGTCTTAAATTTACCCTTCCTGAAGATATTCTTAACTAAAAAGTGCATACAATATAATGTTTACTTCATCATAGGCAGCTCCTCAAAAGGGAAAAGCAGAAACACAAGCTCAGTCAGTAGTGTTTTCATCCACTCATCTCATGCCGTGCCACGCCACATGATTCCACTGAACCAGAACCTCTTATTATACAGCTGTGGAACATTAAAAGAATTCTTTTCTAAAACTGGGATGATGATTTACACATACCTTTGGTATTAAGATCAAACCTCTCAGATGTTCAGACATTCACAGTTGGGAATGAGATCTTTTACTCTGGGACATATTCAGCCTGGAGTGACACTTTCATAATATATACTGCAGGTGTGCCTTATTACAGTAGAGCTGAAATTGGTATTTCATGCATTAAAAGTAGATTCAAAGCTGTTTGTATTGGTTCATACTCTCTAGATGAAACTGTTCTTAAACTGACCTCATATTCTTTATCTCATGTCTGATGATGGCTCAGATCTAGGTCTGTGGTAACAAGTTAAGTCTATTTTGAGTGCTTTTATCTGGGGTAATATCAGATAGTTATGTATAATCCTGAAACCTCATTTATTTTCTCCCTACACAGAACATTGTCTGATGTGAGAAGCACAGTCACACATTTGTGTGGAATTTGTGTTTTTCTGCCATTGCCAGATTTTTCAAGCAGAAGACTGAAAGGAYGCTGTCCATGATTTAACTTGTTCATTCTGTTTGAGAGAAGTTGGCTAACCTATTTCTAGTTGAGGAAAGTTTTAGTCAGAAATTAAATCAGATTTGTTATTTACGTTTTTCAAAAGCAACTGTGTGCAATTGTGCTAAGTACAACAGAAATACTAATATTAGCTATTGACTTCCAATATGATTTAAGGGATAATAATGCAGATTTTTTGTTTGATGTTCTGTAGGTGTTTACTCTATTATGGATTGCTGACTGGATGGTTCACCACTTCTGGAAAAAAGGAAAGGATCCTGACAGTTTCTCTATCCCTTATCTTACGGCACTGGGAGATCTGCTTGGAACTGCCTTGTTAGCCGTGGGTTTTCATTTCCTGTGGCTCATAGGTGACAGAGATGGGGATGTTGGAGATTAATTATTCTAGCGGATGCAATTGATGACTTTTTTTCCAGAATATTGAGAAGACTGATCGTTCCACTTGAAGATCCTCAAAGCAATTGTTCCATTTAGTATGAGTAGATCAAACTGACACAGATATAAAACAGCCTTAATATTTTGGGGTTTTGTTGTTGTTGTTTTGTTTTATTTTTGTCTTTTTTAAAAAAGATGGACCTAGGAGGAGTGTCAAGACTCTGTAATGAAAACAAGAACTGCTGCTAATTGAAAACATCCAGGTAGAAACAGTGAAGAGCAGATCAATCTTTTACCAACTGTTTCTTTTTAAAAAGATCTGGTCTTTTAAAAGAATGATGCATTTCATGTAGTATGAACCAAAAAAATCTCTAATTGATCATTCAGTGGTGATGAGGAAGATTGTGCCAGTCAGTGGTTTGACTTGTTTTTTTCTCTCCTCCAAAACAAAGTGGATATATATTTTCATCTTACAGAAATCTTACATCTTTCACTTACAGAAGTGACTGGTAGACCTCAGATGATTTCAGTTCTGCAGATATCACCTTCCTCCTTGATGATATGTTCCTATCTTGCAATTCTAGTGCTACAGCTCTCTGAATGTTGCAGGCTTTACATCAGTAATAAATATTATGGTGATTTGAACCCTGATTGTCTAAACATTTTGTCACATGCTTTATTTTAAATATACTAACATGACCATCAGCATTTATAAAATGAGACATTTGAAATGTGTCCACAGGATTGAGCCCTTTTCCTTCTCTACTAAAAAGAGCAAGCTAATTATTTTGCTGTTGCAATTTATTAGAACCAATGCAAAGTAATGATGTAGAATGGGACACTGATCTGATCGAAAAGGATTGGATAAATATTTAAAACTATTGGTGTTGAAATGGGTATTTTCATTTAGCAATTGGAAAGATGGTTAATCAATATTAATGGTGTTGTGACGGCCCTGATATTTGATATACTTAAAGAGTATGCTGGTATTTAGATTTTAGTTAAATATTTAGAGGTGCTGATTCATATGTAAGTATTTAGCCCTGATTAATATCTGGAGCATAAAAGAATATGTTGCCTTCCTAGACAGGATGCAGTTACATAAACWTTTAAAATTTCAAACTCTCTCATCCATTCCGTAGCATAAATCTCCAGTGTTACTATCAGACTTTCTGCTTTAAAAGTTTGGTGTAGCCCACAGTGTTACTGCTTCTGAGTACACWGTACTGCTTCTGGATGATTTCTCATATTTGTATACCTCAATTTTTCATATAATACATTGCTATGTCGGGACTCTGGTCATTACTTTGAAAAAATGTACTAATTKCTCTGTTTTAAAAATTAGTGAAAATTCCTTACAGCATATGTTTTTAAAGACCCTAGAATACATTCTAAATACATAATGATATAAAAAAAAATCAAACTTTAAATATTATTATAAAAAGTTTTACTTTTGAGATTTAAACAAAATACATATATCTACATGTTGTAATTCTGTAAACATTAATCATATGAGTTTATGTCCCTTTTAATTTATTGGACCTACTTGGATGAATTAATTTAATCATGTGCTAAGTGTTAGTGGGAATTTTGTAGGTGTTGGTCACCTTAAATTCTATGGCAATTGAAAATGTTTGCAATTCTGAAAGCTAAACCAGCTATCTCAGTGCCTACACTGATTTAGATGCCTAACTTCTGCCACCTCCTTTAAACATTTTTTATTTAAGCTTTTTCATACAGTTATGATAACATAGTTGGTGGATAAGTCGTACGTATTAAATCTCTTGTTATATGAAAGAAAGATAAAGTCCGTCTAATTTTAGGCTGTGACTTTTCTTAGTTTGTATTAATATTATTTAAAGTAGTTTCTTGTATGTAACATTATGGGAAATACTTCTATTAAATGTGTAATATGGACTAGCGGTAACTCAGTTTGGGTTTTTTGCCTTTTTTTAATAACGTTTATTTATCTTGGGTATAGATTTAGACGCAGTTTTTAATTCTGATAGAATTGTCATCTGAATGAACTAAACTGCCATTTTAAGTGTTTTTCTGATTGAAATTATTGCTTTTTACAGTTTTTTTATTGAAAAATGCTTAAAATTAAAATTTCTTGAGATACTTGACTCATCTGTGCTTATGTGATGCATGAACGCATTATAGTGTTTAGTCATTACAGTATTCTTAGTTTGTTAAATATTTTCCCAATAAATAAATGCTGATGCAGCCTGCTGACAWATGGGTGAGTGATTAGATTGCAGAATTGAGGAGATGTTGAATGGGACAGAAATGTGAAACAGAGTGTCTGAAATTCCTTATTGTAAAATTCATTACGGTAAAATCAGTGATGCCAARACATGCAGCACATAACAATACAGATATTAATTGAAGTCTAACCTACTTAAAAAAAAGAGGAAGATAATGCTAAAAACAGTACAGAAGTTCCTTTTGGAGGTAGCATAAAATATCTAGAAGATTTTTTTTTCTAGATTATTCTGTGCTACAATATCTTGTTTAAATTGATTTCAAATCCATCCCTAGTGAAGCCAATTGTTCAGTTATCTTTTTGATTATCATTTCCCCATGCCTACTCAAAGATATCAATGAGCTTTCAGTATACACAGGTGGGGAGAAAGAACTAATGAAGAGGTGTGTTTCATCATTAAAACCTCATTCTGCTATTCATAAAAGAAAGACTTTTTGTTAAATTCAGAATTTTATCATATTGTGCGTGTTTTACATAGATACTCTAGGGAATCTAGGATTAATAGAACATGAATAATTCACAATTCAAGCTAAGATGTTTAGTAAATAYTCAACGTTGTCATATTCAGCAGGGATACCCAAGAGGAGCAATGTATCCTTTAGCCATTCAGCTTCGTTAGGATTGGAAAACAAGGGCGTTCTAACCCACTAGCCTCCCCATGCTGGATGGGCTTCAGTTGCTCTGCAATTAAAAAGATTTCATTCGATTTCACATCCTTCTAGTGGTTTATTTAGTATGCAGGCCACAGTTCATCGTATGCAGTATTTATGCTTTYGTTTCTTGGTTCAAACAAACAGTTGAAATTTCCTTCTTCCTTTACTCAGCTTGTCCATTAACTTTATTTAGCATTCTTCTCCTCTCTCTTTTGGGAGTTTATTTCCTCTGCAAGAGTTGATAAAAGCCTTGAGAGGTCAAGGAATTGCTTCCCTAGAATGATTTTAAATCTGCTTTTTGCAAGTGAAATGTGGTCCTGAATGAAATATTTGGTAGATATAATTGGCTTCTTAATACTGCCTCAGGAGTTGCTATCTTTAGTTTTCAGATTTGYATTATAGGCTTTACAGTGAACAGGATCTAAAAAGGAATTTATCTGTTTGCTTGTTTTTCTTCTGTCTTTTTTTTTTTTCTGATTAATGAAGTTGTTGACATGTCCTGGCCTGAGTAGGGCATCATTTGAATAAACCTGATGTTCTAAACTGCTTCTCAAAATGAGGAGCTACTGTAGTTGCACATCATCAACTTCTACTTGGGAAGCAATCATCCATTGGGCTGCTTTTCTGTGAATCCTCTAACTACAGTTAGCACTAGATCATCCAAAGCCATTTTTCCCATTAAATATTTTTCTTCCAAGAAGCACTGGTTTTATACTGTGCTGACACAACCAATTCTTATTTCTGATATAGCATCTAAGATTAGAATGCTTAGTCTCAAATGTTTTGAAGACCGAGCCAGTTTTTACTGATTCCATATGAAAATGTAGGCTTCAGTAGACTTGTTTGATTAACTGCAGTTCTAGAGCAATGAATGGTAGCCTTCCCTTAAAATATAAGAATATCTCTGGGTTTTGGAGCATTTGCAAACCAGAAGTTGTTTTTTTAAGCATGGCCACATTAAATAACTGAAATCAGCTCAGTTACCAAGATTATCCGAATTTGTGGTCAAAGGAGTAGACAATTTGGAAGAATAAGGGAGGTCCTTACCTGTCTAATGTGTGAAAATTCTTGGTTTACTGAGAATCTTAACCCCTTGAGACTTCCATTGTTGCTTCTTCAAAGTCCACCTATTAAGGTCACCGGGTACTATTGTAGCATGAGTTTTTAACATGCCTCTGGAAACTACACCCTGTCCACCAACCCACCCATCTCTTCTGATGGAGTAGAAGGCACCTCCACAAATAAACTCACAAATCCATGTGCTTGGTGCAATATTAAAATGCTGTGAATTGGGATACTAAAAGACATCCTCATTCCTATACCTGGCCTCTGCTCAATTCCCACATTAGAGGGCTGATTCATTTTGTAAAGACCCTTTATAAAACACTAAGAGTAACATTCCAGAGAGGTGAAGCACTGTGCTGTTCACTATCATGTCTGCTTGTGCTCCCTGTGCATAAGACTTTACAAGGCAAGAGGGAAACTGTCATGAACTGTGACTATTGGCCTCTTAGGACTAAGCCCTGTGCTTTGAACAAAGCCTGAATATATATCCTTTGCATTATCAAGAACACGGCGGTAGGTGAAAGGATGAAATCTCGTAACTCTTCAGTTCTGTTAATGTTTATGCATCAGACCATGCCATGCTCAGGAGACAAGGATCACCGCCGTTCCTTCCTCTTGTTGGTAGATTTGGTGAGAGATCTGCACCTCTTCTGTGTGCTGTCAGGGCAGCCGTCATCTGACCCCAGAAGTCCTCTGAAAACCTCGAGATCATCTGGGTTATTTATTCCAACACAGGTCCTCAGAATTAGGGAAAGGGCTGCTATGTTTGGAGCACAAGTGTGTGTGCGCTCCTGTGTTCAGAGCCTWGCTTGCCTGCAGAGTTAGGCAGGGGTCTATGTATTTGACCCTCAGATATACAGGGGGCTGCCGCTAGCCATAGGGAAGAGCCAGCTTCATTAGGGCACTGACACCATTTTAATTCCTCTCTGGAACCAGGAGATACTGGAATCCTCARTCACCAGCCCACCCTGAATTTAATTCATTTCATTTAAAAATTTCAAACTTTGGCCTAAAAATGCAGAGAGGCACATCTGTTCCGCCCTGCGGTGTCTGGAAGTCAGATGGTGAAGCYGAGCTCTCCTGAGTGACAGAGTCATCAGCACTGAACACTCGGAGGCTGCTTCCCAGCCAACGGAGCTGCAGAAAACAAGGGGAGCCCCTGGCAGCTCAGCAGGCAGCCACCCTGTGGACACCTGGCCTGCATCGAGGTAYGAGTCCACAGGTATCGTGAAGCACGTCCAGATCACAGCAGTAAATCTTGGGATGCGATATGAAATCGCTGTCAACATCATCTCTTCTGCTAATCACTCTTTATTCAATCAAAGGAAAATATGATGATGTCTTTTTTTATATGTTTTTCTTTTTAATTTCTAAGCAGGAACAGAGCTGGTTGAATTCCTCTGTTGAAATGTACTGCCCAAGGGAAAACGAACATAATTGCCTCCAGATGGAGATCTCCTCTGACCTGAAGGGGTTACTTTGCATTCAAAGGGGAGAAGAAAGGAGGGGTTAACAGTAGCACCCATCCTAAGTCACCACAGCAGCACAGGTGAGCATGTTTTAGGCATGGAACACRTTTAGGGTGCTCCAGGTGAGCACATTTAGGTTTAGGTGCACAGGTGGGCATGCTTAGGTTTAAGACATGAAGGACCTGCAGCTCCTGATGGCTTCAGAGGGAGCCTYCCCAGGTCAAAAATCAGCACAAAATACCTTAGACCTCAAAGTAAGTGATAATTTTATTTAGTGTTGGTCTAAATGCTTTCCATCTCACATCAGAATGCTCACAAAGAAAAAAGAGACTTGTATCCTGATGCTGCACAAACCACCTGTGTGGGCCTGGAAGACGCGAGGGACCTTGTGCCGTAACACCCAGCCGAGCCTCCTGGTCCGCGGTCACAGCTGCTCACCGATGTGATCGGGAGGCCGTTCCCTGGTTTCCATCAGCTCCCAATATCCCCAGCAAAGATCTGCCAGGGAATCTGAAACATGCTACAATAAGGCAAGCAAGATTATTCACTTCCCTCTGTCCTTAGATGCATCTCTCCAATTTATTGCTAAATATCTCCTGACAAGACGCCCCAAATTTTCAGCATAGATTTTTCCATCTTAAACTTTTTTCCATCTTGTATGCCATTTCCCTAGTTAGGCAGACTTAATTTCTCATGTGAATTTTATTTAGCTGTTCTTTCTTCTAATCTTTACTTGTTGACTTCAATTTTTTTTTAAATTGTTTGTTTAAATTTTGAAAATTTCCTAAGTGAAAAAAGGGAACCTTAAAAGCATCTGTGGTATAAATGGTACATACTGCACATAAAATCTTATTATATATATATCAATAACATTTTTATGATGAAACAGCAAAGCACATTGTGTACTTACTACAAACAGCTGAATTGTTATGTCTTTCCATATTAATGAAGGCAAATTCTTAATAAATCATATAAAGCTACAGTCCCAGGAAGGAGATGTTTTGTTTTTCTTGAATAGGCATCTCAACATTTATCTGCAAGTTTCCACAAACAGTGTTTTTCTTTCCATAACTGACATTTTTTCCACATCCACCTTATTTTCATATTTTTTTTTAAAGTAAAGATTTGCATTGGTCGATTGCATTAATGATCCTTTTTATGAGACAAATCTTGATTTTAGAGATAAAATTAAACCCTTTTTTAGCTAGAAAAATAGTTGTCTCCTAGGATAAGCCAGTCTAGCAGAAGCCTAGGCAATGTTTAAACCCTTTCTTTGCTTTTACAGGAAATAAGGGCCTGTTGCAAGTTGTTGCTTTTGATTGACTGCAAATATTTATTGACCACATGGAAAATTTTTGCTGCCTAAAAAGCCATGAATTCCCATGGTATAAATC